AAAAAAATTCAAGAAATAATGAATAGGAAAGAGGGGTACATTGGAAAAACGAAAAGTTTTAGGCGGGAAAGAGAGCCGTTGCGTTGCAGACACCAAATTTTGGCGCCAAAATCTAAATTTTCGACTGGGTTTTAGCTGACCATTGCCCGAAACTCTACGGGCATCCCAAAAAATCTTTAACAATTTTCTTATTCTTATCAACTCCTCTGTATAGCCTTATGATTTATAGAATTAATAGTAGTATTAGTTTAAGCAAATTAGGTTTCTCTGTTTTATCTATAAACTCTGCCCTCCATTTTGCCGCCATCTCTTCTTTTTCTTCCATTCAAAGTCTTTACAATTAGCCCCTTTTCTCTCTTCTTTTATCTCTCATGGTTTCAGATTCTTAAAACAAGAAAGACCCTTTTGTTTCATTCTTATTATTCCTTTGATAGCCTCCAACTTATACTGTCTTCACTGCTTCTTGATAAAAGAGGAGTCAAGTTCCAAAAGAGAAATCTTTTTCTTAAGTTCATAACAAAGTTCGTATTTTTCTTCTTCTAGAAATCAGATTTGTTTTGTGGTTTTTGGGCTAGAAATGGGATCTTCAAAGAAACATCAAGTGGATAGAAGCAAAATGTGGGTAATTGCAGGAATAGCCTTTCGGCCAAAACTGAAATCAATAGCCACAAAAAAGCCCAATAGAGAAGAGTGTGAAGATGAAGAAGAGTGGTCAACAACTCCAACGGAACGAAATTCAAGGATACCGGAAAAACTTCCATGCCCACCGGCTCCGGTTAAACGCCGGCCGGCATCAGTATGTAGTTATAATGGTGCTAGGGAGTTCTTTAATCCACCAGATCTTGAGTCTGTATTTATTATTCACCATGTTCAGAGAGAAAATTATTAAACCAGAATTACTAGAGTGCTAAAAAATGGAGTACCATTTTATTGAACAAGAAAAGAGGCCCATTTGCTCTTGTTCTGTTTTTCTTAAGTTTTTTTTAGTAGCTTAGGCTGTTGAGTTTAAGGTAATGATAATGTAATATACAGAATACTCTACTAGATATGGTCTCTGTAGATTAGCTAGTGTAGTTTACTTCTATCTATAAAACTAAGTTCTCAGTATTATGATCCTTTGCCTTCTGACTTCTGTTTTGCTCTTGTTCTGTTTTTTCTTTACAGTATTTGTCTTTTTTCTTCCCTAATGTAGTTTAGGTATTTGAGATAATGATAATGATGATGAAATATACAGAATACTACTGTACTTCAGTTCTTTTACTCAATTAAGCAAGAAAATCTTAAGTATTATGCCTGAGCTTTTACTTTCTGTTTTCATTGTTTCTCAATGTTTTTTAATTTTTTCATGTTTGATTGACTTAAATGTTTTTGAAAATATTTTCTTGATTCTTTTTAGACTTTTTCCATCCTATTCACCATTCCCATCAATCCACCCTTACACTCCCACTTAACCACCCCACCCCAAACCTAAATAAAAATATTATTAATACTTTCTTTTCATTTTATAGATAAATTTTCTTTTTTTCAAGTATTTTTTTCATGATATAAAAAGTATTTTTTTATTTTAATAAAAAAAGTACTTTTTTTTAATGAGGTAAAAAAAATATTTTCTTTTATTTCAATAAAATGATTACTTTATTTTCATATTTTAGAAAGAGTACTTTATTTTTCAACCAAAAAAAGAGTATTTTTTTTATAGTTATGGAACATAAATTTCAATGTTATTTTACGTAAAAATGTAAAACAACACATTAGTTTCTTTGGATTTGTGTAATTTTTAGAAGAATAATTAAATTATTGAAGAAAATAGAATGCTAAAAACGTTGGGTATTTGGGGTAGGGAGGAAACATGAGGAATTGGGGGTGAGTAGAGCACCATAAAAAAAAATACTCTCTAACCAAACACTAGAAAATATTTTCCGAAAAAAATTTCCACTCACCATCAGACAAGAGAGAATAAGTGATAAAACTACTCATTTATTTTCTGTCATACGGAACACACCCCAAGTTGATGGTATTTTGCATTTCTCACTTGGCTGCCTTTGCCAACCACCCACTCACCTATCTTCCCTTTTTTTCAGCATTGAATTTATTTCACAAGTATCTTCCTTTTTTTTACCACTTGATGCTTTGAAAAATGTCCTCTTATAAGATTTTCAGGGGTAGTTTGATAGGATGTAATAGCGAAAATAATATATGTATAGTTTTGGTATTATTAGTTCCTTGTTTCGTAGTATTTTTCAACTAATGTATAACACCATATTTAGTATTATTCTTATACATAACAAATCATGACATTAGCAATATCATGATTTTTAATACATGGATATGGGTGTCAATGGATATTTAAAAACTGACTAAACCGACCGAATCACATCGAACCGAAATTTAGGTTTCTTTTAATAAAACCGTAGGTTTTATATAAATCTATAACCGTATCGATAATTAGGATAGATTTTTTATTTTTTGAAAATAAACCGAAAAGAAACCGTTGGGTATTTGGNTCAAACACTAGAAAATATTTTTCGAAAAAAGTTTTTTCACTCACCAACCAAATAAGAGAAAATAAGTGATAAAACCATTCATTTTTCATGAAAAATATTTTCTAAAAAACATTTTCCATCTTACCAAACATACCACAATTTGATGATATTTTGCATTTCTCACTTGGTTGCCTTTACCAACCACCCACTCACCTATCTTCCCTTTTTTCTTTCCACTTAATTTTAAGAAATTACAACAGTGAATCCTAGCACTTAATTTATTTCACAATTATCTTCCTTTTTTTTTTTTTTTTTTCCACTTGATGCTTTGAAAAATGTCCTCCTTATAAGATTTTCAGGGGTAGTTTGATAGGATATATTAGCGAAAATAATATATGTATTAGTTTTGGTATTATTAGTTCCTTGTTTGATAGTATTTTCCAACTTATGTATAACACCATATTTAGTATTTTTCTTATACATAATAAATCATGACATTAGCAATATCATGATTTTTAATATATAGATAGGGGTGTCAATGGATATTTAAAAACCGACTAAACCGATCGAATCGTATCGAACCGAACCGATTTTTCGGTTTATTTTAATAAAACCGTAGGTTTTTATATAAATTTATAACCGTACAGATAATTAGGGTATGTTTTTTTATTTTATGAAAAATAAATCGAAAAATACCGAACCGTACCAAATAAATTTACATGGGAAAAATATATTAATATTAAAAATAATAAAACATTAAATTTTTCCTTGGGCCTTGAAATTATAAAAACGGTTACAAGCCAACAGTTAATTAAACCCAGAATTCTATTTCCCAAACCTATTATACTACTCCTATTGAAACTAAATTATTTCCAGCATATTCACTAGCAAGACACAAGGTAATCTAGCGATTATGAGTAACAAATTACAATGTATTGAATTTTCGTATGATTTAAATTTATATTTTTAAATATTTAATCTTCTATAGACTTTATTCTTGAGTTTCAACTTGCTTAATATCTTTCCACCCATGTGATTTATATTTTCTTTGTCTTTGCTTAGTTTCTTTTACGCTATTATAGAATAGTTGATAAATCTATAATCTAATCATCTTTCATATTTTCTTAGTTCATCACCTTTTAAATAGTAAAATTGTCTAGAGAGTTTTGATAAGTCCTATCAAAGTATGTATGTTATTGCATTATGTTTCTACTAATGACTTTTTAATGACATTTAAAAAAATACCGAAAATTAATCAAACCATATCGATACCGATACCGAAGAGAAACCGACATGATTGGTACGATTTTTAAAAGTCTAATTTTGATTATACATCATAAAATAATCAAAAAATTGATATGATACAAATTTTATAAAATATTGATCGAACCGAATCATTCCTATACATGGATAAAGAAGGAATTACCCTTTCAAAACAATTTTAAATGTCTTGCTTCACGTGTCGCCACTGCAGCCGAAACCTGTATTTTGGAAATCCAATTCTTCATCATAATGTTTCACTGGTAATTAAAAGATAAAATAATAATGTACTGTGAGAATCCAATGTGGGGTTTAAATTGTTTGGTACATATTCGAATTCATTGCTTTTGATAAACAGTAATTGATGACTGTAAGAAAGCTTACCTTCGGTTTGATTATTGAAGTGCTCTAGGTTAGTATGCTGTATGTTAATTAATTCCAAACAGCCCCCCGAGTTGATATAGTAGAATATTACTTATTACTCTCTCTGTTTTAATTTAGATGAGATAGTTTGACTCGGCACAAAGTTTAAGAAAAAAATGAAAGACTTTTGAAACTTGTGGTCTTAAAAGTTTAAGGGGTAAAACCTTTGTGGGGCCATGACATTTGTGTGATTATAAAAGCTTCTCATTAAGGATAAAATATGTAAAATAAAGAGTTTAAAGTTGAATTATTTCCAAATTTAGAAACGTGTCATTTATTTTGGAACAGACTAAAAAAGAAAGTATCTTATCTAATTTGAAACGGAGGGAGTACTTTTTTGTTAGCATTTGTAGTTTATAAGAAAGTGACGATGAAGTTCTGTTAAGTCCTAATAGTAAAATATTACTTTTTGTTAGTGCATGACATCCTAATTAAAGGTAATTAGTATATGAATTTAACTTTATATACTTAATAGACTTATTAACTGCTATAACATATTAAATTAAACTGCAAATAAGGTAACACTTCAGTAAATTGTCAGTGTATATAAATTAAGTAATTTCTAGTAATCTTTAAGTTATTATAAAGAAAAGGGCACATGAGCAATTCGACATCACTATCAGTAACAAAAATTAGAAACCTTAATTTGTCAGATACCATTGTTTAATGCTTGGATTGACTTGACCAAAAACGAAGCTTCATTAATTAAAATTAGTGTTGAATTCAGTAGTTGTGACTGATTGCTTCATTGGATTCTTTAAAATGACCTTTTGATCAAGTGTCAAACCTTTTTCCCTTGTTACCTTATGGGAAGCAGCAGCAGCTAGCAGATACGGCCGAAAGAATCTCTTTATATTAATAAAATAAAATGTTAAAACAGAGATAAAAAGTAGTTTAGACAAATACTCCTATGTTGGACGAATACACTTCTATAGTTAAAATGTACAAATATTTCAAAATGTCCACTGTGTTATTCAGTTTCCACCCCATCTTCACAATCTTTGAGATGTTCTTTGAGGCTTTGTCCAGGTATTTCATTATTCCATGTTGAATCTGTTTCTGGCAATGTATATTCGTCAGGTTTGAGCGACAACTGGAATTCTGGAAGATCGGGCAATGCTTGACCTCTGCTTAAAAAATCATCATATATAAATGTAAGCGTATTAAATTTTCAGGCATAAGAACAATGTTTCAATGTGTAAGATGTAATCCTCACTTTTCTTGATCCAAAAGATAGCCATACATCTGAGTCTTTCTGGCAGCAGTTTCGGGGACTTTTTTGTTTAAATGTTTCATAACACCCCATGGCGGAGGAGTTCTATTGCAAATAGACAACAAGGAAAGTTAGTTATAATGGTTTGTAACTTCATAACAAAGTAGGAATGTTCTTTGTTTAAAAGGGCAGTCTGGTGCACTGAGCATCCGCTATGCGCGGGGTCCGGGGAAGAGCCGGGCCACAAGGGTCTATTGTACGCAGCCTTAACTGCATTTATGTAAGAGGCTGTTTCCACGGCTCATGGCAGCAACTTTACCAGTTACGCCAATGTTCTTTGTTTGCAATGTAAAAAGAAGAGAGATACAAACCTTGTCACAGGTTCTGCAAGGCAAAAACTTAAGGAGGCCTTTTTGCTTTCTGTAAGTAATTCTTCTGCTGCGAGGAAACAACATAGTGCACTAACATGGGAGGAAGGTTCTGTGCCTTTGTCGACGATTATACCGTGGTAATAGTAAGCTACAGCCTGACTATGCCATTCACATATATGAGCAAGAAAAGTGAAAGAATATGAAAAAAGCTTAACAAGAAATTAACAAGTTTGGTACAAAAAATAAACCTTTGCTTCAAGATACTTCCATTTGATGAATAATATATGTTTTTTCGCTGTTCCATGGAAATTATTATGTCCAGACAAGCAGCAAAGAGCCTGAAATAGCAAAAAAGAAGAAGAAAGAAGTCCAAGATTAACACTGGTGATGTGCAATTGATGGAGTGAACAGTCAGAACTACACAATCATATGATGCAAAAAACAAACTAGGACAAAGTCGACTAGTCCTTAATATCGAACTACTAATTGAGTTCAGATATAAGCCTCAATCCTGGTGTTTCAGATTTGCCACTCTTGATGTTCAGGAATCAGGAGTTTGATATAATGAACAAGCAGGAATTGTCAAGTTGACGAGTAATAGGGAGAAAATTTTCTAGCAAATAAATCAGCATTAATAAAGGGAAAACACAGTTTTAAGTACCTGTCCATAGTAGCTTACTGCTTCACATGCCAGCCTCCTCTTCACTGATAAAGTCGCATTCTGACTTTCAAGAGCCAAACCTAATTGAATTTCAGTTCCCTGAGATATCACTCAAGCAGTGTCACGAATCAGTCAACGTATTTTCTATGAATTTCAATAGCTTCTTAATCATCTAACAGGATTTCCATTTTGGAGAATATTGTTATAATGATCTGATTTTATTTCCATTTCGCCTTAGCTCTTTCTTAATGTGCTGCTTTCCAGTAACTACATGTAAAACAGTTATCTTTTCATTGATTTTATTGTGTATAAGGAAACAAAAATTGTATTCCAATTAATCGACGAGTAACATATACCTGGGCTAGTGCTTGGGTTGAGGTGGCTTCAAGAATACCCTGACGCAAATCTTTAGGCAATCTGTTCCTGTTCAAGTTAGGATAACCTAATAAATATGACAAAGAACAGATATAACTGTAAAAATAAGACAGAAAAGCTGAACATATATTTACATACTTAACATCAGGTGGTAAGTGGACAAGAACATCTTGAACACAGAAATCCAAATAACCTGCTGTTTTTAGCAGCAAATCAACAGCATCCCTCATGCAATCTGAAAAGGAAACGATGTTGATCATTGCTGATCAGACTTTGAGGTTAAGTTAACATTAATAACCACAATACCTCCGGATACAACACGTTCAGTCATAGCACTGTCTTTTGGTATCAACTTCATATTTGCCTCTACTAATGTTAACATTGCCATCATGTGGAGGACAGACAGTAATTCAAACCAGGAGTTTGCTACAGATATTTCCTGCTAATAAAAGATCATAAAGCTTGTCAACAAGTGATAACCACTCAACATTTACAGAAATTCAAGAATTGATAAAAAATATTGAACCTCTTGCCCATCTTCTAAGTTTCTCCACTTAAATCCAATCAAGTCTTGAAGCCCAAATTCTGTATAATGACATGATCATCGATTAGCACCAAAATAGTATGAGTAGCAAACTATACAACAACAATAACAACAAATTCAGTATAATCCTACAAGTGGGGTCTAGGTAGGATAGCATGTACGCAGACCTTACCCATACCTAGAAATTAGAGGGGCTGTTTTTGATATACCCGCAGCCAAACTATAAAGTACACAAATCTGAAAAGGGTGCAAACCTTTTCTAGTGAGGCCAACAAGAAGAGACAAATACTCCTCGAGAGCTTGTTGTAATTCATCAATGGCAGAAACATCTGGAGAACATATACAATGAAAGTAATCAAAAGATAGTGTACGAACGATACTCAAGTATAAGCAGAGTTTCCATTGTTAGTTCATACCTGTATCTTGCGCGATCAGCACAATCTGATTCCTTATAGAAGTTAGTCTATCAGCAAGATCCTTAGGAATCACACCCTTGAGTGTCCTCTGGATATCACATTGAACAGGAACACGCATTGAAGGGACAAAAATGCTGACTTCAGGAATGATGTTCTTCTTCTTCTTTTTTCCAACCGCGTAGACAGAAACAGCACACCCCATTGTTTTTTAAGGGGAATGATCTCAACTAGTAACATCCTACGTAGGCATTGAATATTGCAAGATTCTGGGAATAGCAGCACATATGATCAGCTACAAGATGAAACTATGAAAAACATTGAACCATATATAATACCACACTTACTATTATGGGCTGCCAAGTCAAGTTGCAAGCATGGCAAAGGTGAATACAAAGATGGACTACTAGTTGACTAGTAATATATTGATAAAAAAAAAGGGCTATCCGGTGCGCTAAGCTCCCGCCATGTGAAGGTCCGAGGAAGGGCCGGATCACAATGATCTATTGTAAGCAGCCTTACCCTGCATTTTTGCAAGAGGCAGCTTCCACAGCTCAAACCCGTGACCTCCCGGTCACATGACAACAATTTTACCAGTTACGCCAAGGCTCAGGGTCCGAGGAAGGGTCGGACCACAATGAACTATGATACGCAGCCTTACCGTGCATTTCTGCAAGAGGCTGTTTCCACGGCTCGAACCCGTGACCTCCTGGTCACATGACAACAACTTTACCAGTTACGCCAAGGCTCAGGCGTCCGAGAAAGGACCGGATCACAGTGATCTATTGTACACAACCTTACCCTGCATTTCTGCGAGAGGCTATTTCCGCGGCTCGAACACCTGACCTCTTGGTCAGGTGACAACAATTTTACCAGTTACGCCCCTTATGTTCGATAATATATTGATAAGAATGGGACTATTTGCAATGCATTCTAATAAATGATGGGAACTTACTGTCAATGCCAGGCTGCTAGTGTGGGCTGACATCTATTGATATCAGTATCAGTATCACCTATTAAGTGACTATACAACAAGGCCACTGCCTATGAACTGTGAAGTGAAGGTTCCAGGATGGTTTAATATACATATTATATAGGAAAAAAAGAACAGGGAAAGAGTTGCTAAATAAAATATATAGTGTGTACAATTATGTAAAAGATTAGAGATCTGAGATTTGGAAGCAAATGAGGAAGCTCAGGTTACGAAAAATGGTCACATGCGAATGCGAATACATAGGGGAAGACTTACAACTAGTCAATTATTTTAGAATAAGTGCTACAGTATTGTGTTTAGACCGTAGTTAATGCTGTAGTTTTATCTCTATCCAATAATACGATGACTCTAATCCCTATGTATCAGTCGGTAGAAGTTTAAAGTTCAAACGCCATTATATTTATGGTGAATTTAGACTAAGGAAACTGGTTTTCTAAGGGAAAAATGACAACTTTTACTTTTACATATATACAATATTGACGACTGAAATTTGACTAATCTCCTTTGCATGTATTTAGGGCAAAACCAGCTTCAAAAGCAATGTTCTCATTTGTTTTGCGTGTGGGGACAGTAAGATATGTGATTTTGGTAAAGGAAGCAAGATATACTTTCTTTCTAATTCATTAAAAATCTATTTATATAATGACAAAGATCTAAACACTGTGGATCGATTGGTTTAGGGATAAGTTATGCATCAATTAATTCTAATATTCTTATCTCACATATAATTTATGAGGAACACAAAAAATAACAACCAAACATTATACAACTTAATGTTGATTTTTATGTGAGGATTAGATTTCTTCAACCCAAGCAAACATGCATGGTACAAACTAATGCTGGATTTTATGTGGAGATTAATTGTCCTTTATAAGTGCCTCTGAGTAGGAACATAGGACTATCGTACCAAATATAACAGGGTCCTTGACTTAATTTCCTTTTCATATAAAGGTAATCTATTTAATTTAACTCCTTGCCACCACCTAGTTCGGCCCTTACATGTAACCTAAACATGCATAACATACTAAAACATACTACTATAGAATATTGTGGTCATCAATATGTTAAGTATAATATTGTTTTAAAAGCTTTTCTAAACAAATTTAGAAAAGAAAGACCAAGTATCATGTAAATGAAAGGAATGGAATACCAATACTTCTACTTCTACTATGTTCTTTCTTGGCAAGTCTTGCACTATTTTCAGGTCCTCGTTGCGAGCTCGCAATTCACAACAATAAGTACTTATCCGAGTGTTTATAGTACTAGAATTTCTCAAACTCAAAAATCAAAATGCATGAAACTTAAATAAGAGTTCTACAAATTCAGAGGCGGATTCAGAATTTAAATTTTATGGGTTCAACTTTTAAAGTTATGAGTTCATATCTATTATTTTTGTAATTTTAATAAATTTTTACACATAAATTTATTCAGCGTCAAAAGTTATGAGTTCAATTGAACCCGGTAATAATATACTATATCCGCCCCTGTTCCTAATGCCTTATAATATTCAACAAACCAAACTTATTTTTAACATATCTTGCAAATTATCACTTCAATTCGTACGACATTACTTCTTGTTTTTAACATTTGAATTCGTTAACACAACAGGAAAAAAAAAAAAATCAACTTTTAAGTTTTAACGAAACAATGTCCTTATTAACATATCATAACATTGAGATGTTGGAGCTCTATCTTTTTCAATGCGGTCACACGTCCTTTTTCTTTTTGGGTACACTTTTAGAAAATAAAATATTGTGGGATGCTTGAATAAAATTCACATGTGGGAATTAAGATTCAGACGGTTAAAAAACTAGTGGTATCTCAAAAAGAATGTTCATTATTGATTTGGAAAAACTTTTCTTTTTCTTTTTTGGAATATTATATTTTAGATTCACTTATTATCTAGTAAATTATAAAGTTTTACATTTAGAAGAGTTAAACTAGTCTTTATTTAATCGTTGGAGCAACATTTTATATATAGTACTATAATATTTTCGACTCCCTTTCTGTTCTTCCTATCTGTTCTAAGTTAGGCTATACTTTCTAGAATGTTGTTGTTTCTGCTTTTTATTTATAACGGGAAAAATTTGTTAAACTCTAATCAAGGGCGGCTCTAGGGTAAGGCAAGAGAAACTCTTGCCTTAGGCCCCCAAATATTTAAGGCCCCAAAAAATATAAAGTACTATTATATCATTATATAATTGTAATATGGTCAAATTTTCATGATATTTGCCATGACATAATATGAATTATAACAAATTTGTGGTTCATGATATTTGTCATGACATAATATCCATTATAACAAATTTGTGTATCATGATATTTTTCATGACATAATATCCATTATTAGGCCAAGGATTTCTTGCTATAAATAGAGGAGTTTCTCCTCATTTGAAAACACACAAATTCAAGAGCTTTTGTAATGACCCAACCGGTTATTTTAACTTTTAGAATCCCCTTCCCTAAAATAAAATTTTTCGTATGTGCTTTTAATAATTTTTGACTTGCAGGGATGGTTGGTTCGGGATTTGAAAACGTTTGGGGTGAAATCGGAACACTTGGTTCCTTAAATTAGCTTTAAAAGGTCAAGTTTGACTTCGATCAACATTTGTAGAAAACGACCCCAGAATCGGGATTTGACGGTTCCAATAGGTTCGTATGATGATTTTGGATTTGGGCGTATGTCCGAATTGAAATTTGGATAACCCGGGAGCGTTTTGACGCTTAATAGTAAAAATTAACTATTTGAAGGTTTAAAATTCTTTAAAATTTGATTTGGGGTAGGTTTTTGAGTAATTGAATTCTGTTTGGAATTCCGAGTTTGGGAATAGTTCCGTATAGTGATTTAAGACTTGCACGCAAATTTTCGTGTCATTTTGAATAGTTTAAGTATATTTCGGCGCATTGGAAGTAAATTGAAGAACATTCTTAAGTTTGAATCAATTTGGTTTAGTGTATGATTCTTAGATTTGATGTTGTTTTACGCGTTTCGAGAGTTCGAGCGAGTCTGTTTTATAATTTCAAACCTGTTGATATGTTCAGGTGGGGCTCCGGGGGTCCCGAGTATTAACCGGACGAGGCTCGGACCAATTTTAGAAAATTGAGCAAGGACTGAAGCTCCTAGCTACTGTCATAATCGCACCTGCGCTTGGACAACCGCAGGTGCGAGCTCGCAGGTGCGAACGAGAGAAGCCTGCCCAGCCATCGCAGATGCGAAGCATTTGGCGCACCTACGAACGCGCAGGTGCGATGGCCTTGTGCGCAGAAGCGGAAAAATGCGCAGGTGCGAAGGGATGGGCGCACCTGCGCTTGCGCAGAAGCGTGCACTTCTTCCGCTGGTGCAGAACCAGGAAAAGAACGAAAATGCGCACCTGCGAGGAATTTCCGCAAGTGCGAAGGCCGCATGTGAGGTACTCCTTCCGCAGGCGCGAAAAACCTGTCTGGGTAGAACTTTAAAATGGACGAAAACTCAGTCCATTTCTTTCTATTTTTCATCCATTGTTGGGCGATTTCAGAGCTCTTTGTGAGGAGTTTTTAACTAGCAATTTGAAGGTAAGTTAATTCCACACCCCTTGAGTTAAATACATAGATTACAGGTAGATTATAACTAGTAAATCTTAGAAATTAAAGATTTAGATGAAAAACCTAGATTTTTATAAAAGTGAGATTTTAACCACGAAAATAGTTATGGAATTGGGTAGAAATTATATATTTAAGTTCTAGAGATTATGGGTAACGTTTTCATCCGAAAAGTTTCAGAATCCGAGCACGCGGGCCCTGGGTGAATTTTAGAAATTTTACCATTTTGGATAAGGTAATTTATTTAATAGATAAATTTCGAATCATTTAGCATATATTAATTATTTTGTATAATATTTGGATAGTTTTGGATTTTCGGCATCAAATCGAGAATTCAACGCGACGTGGTAATCGGAAAGTGTACTTTGAGACGAGGTAAGCCTCTTGTCTAATCTTGTGAGGGGGAAATTATCCCATAGGGATTAAATTGAATAATTGTTGCTAATTGCGGGGGCTACGTACGCACGAAGTGACGAGAGTCCGTGCGTAGCTACTATTAATGCTAAAGTACGGGTAGTTTAGGACTCAAAGCATGAATTACTTGTGTAAATTGTATTCTTTGTTTAATTAATATTAATTGATATATATGAATATATTGTGAATTGTTAGATAAAGATATTAAAGGATGAAAATCTCATATGCTTGATTTTCTGTTTAAATTAATTAATTGTTAAAAGAAACTGTTCTTCCTCCCGAATTTATCTTATAATAAATATACTCTCCTTTCGGATGTACACAAGAAAATGTCCTTCTTTCTTGTGGACCAGGCCGAATGCCTCGGCAGGATAGATGCATCTATGGATCCTGCCGCACGTCCCTCGGCAGTGTACACGACACTCTGGATCGGGCAGTACATCCTCGACAGAAATCGTGCTTAATAATAATAATTACATGATACTTTAATAGTTATTTCAAGCTTGCGAAGCTAATTGATAAATTGGAGAATCTTTAAAATTTAATAAATTATTATTCCTGCTTGTTAAGGAATTAATTGTTATTCATGTAAATATGATTAATTGATAAAGTGGAAATTATTTGAATTTAAGGAATTTAATTAATATATTGAGAATTGTTGCATTTGAAGGAATATGATNGCTTTCCACTCTTGTCTTTATTTCTCCTCCTTTATTTTATTATAGAGTATTTTGTAAGAGAGTGAGTGTTGAGAAACACTTGTGTGAACTCCTTCTTTGGAGTGATCTTGTGAGGTTATTCTCTTGGGGTATTTGGGATTAATTAGAGTATTTACTCTAATTTTGTACTCTCTTTTGTACTCTTGTTGGTATAGTGAAATTGCTCCTCTCCGCTTGTGGACGTAGGTCACCTTGACCGAACCACGTTAAAGTTGTGTCT